GATAATTTACTTCAATTAATTGTACGGTTATCGTCTGCCAAAAATGATCCGAACCTTGAGCATTTGCATTGCGATCTATTCACTATGGATTTGGCCAAACAAATGAATAAAATCCATGACATCGGAAATTTTGATAATTCGGATTTTGAAAAAAGTGACAATTTGGACTTGACTGGTTTGGAGTGTTTCTCATTCAAATACAGTGTTCATTGGCCGATATCCATAGTTTTAAATCAATGGGCCCTGTCACAGTATCAGATGCTGTTTCGCTTGTTGTTTTATTGCAAACATGTTGATCGCCAATTGTGCAAAGTTTGGATACAAAATATTGAAATTATCAAAAACAAAGTTAAAAAAGATCACTTTCGCACCGCATTTGCTTTACGACAACGAATGCTTAATGCTATTCAGCACTTGGAATACTATATGATGATTGAAGTTGTCGAACCGAATTGGCATATTTTCACGGAAAAGATGAAAAACGTACGAAATATAGATGAAGTTATTATGATACATCAGGATTTTCTACACGTTTGCTTGCAAAATTGTATGCTACATTTTCCAAACTTGTTACGTTCACTTATGATGATTTGCAGCGTTTGTTTGCGTTTTTGTAAAATTATATCGGTGTCTCATTATACAAAATCCGATATTGACGCAATTGAAAAGGAATTCAATGATCAATTGGTCACATTTATCAAGTCATTAGGTGAACAGTCATCAGACACATCAACAGCCAAATTTCTTAGTTTAGTTTGCCGCTTAAATTTCAACTCATTTTACAATTAACAACATTACCCAAAAAACCTATTTTTGTCATTAATACCAGTGGCAAGTAATATTTTTGTTCTACCGTCCTAATTTTGACATTCATAGTAATTTTAATTGATACACATTTCAATATATGTTTTTGAAAGTTTAAAATAAGTATTGTTGTTGCTTTATTTATTATTATTCAATTCTCTTGGTAACTAACTTCATGTTAAATTCAATTCATTCAATATTGTAACATGACAGCTCATTCTTTCGTCTTTAATCTTTACAACAATGAGGTGTTTTTCAAAAAACGTCTACCATGTCTCAGATATTCCGAAAACATTTAAATCTTTTTTGTTTCGATTTCGACTCACATTCGAGTTTAAACCATGGATCCATTGATTTTTTTGATAATAAAAAATATTTTTTTTTAATTATATAAAATCGTTTATTGTGTGCGAATTGAGTTGATGATGGGAAACATAACCACAATTGACGACTCACAAGACAAATTCTTTCACCGCATGTGAAATGCGCGTGGAAAAAAAGGTACACTTTTCACTTTTTACAAAAGATTGGAAATAAATTTACTGATGATTGTTCTAGTAAAATGAAATTTAAAGATTATAAATAAGAACGGCCAGCTGATGTTTTAATTTGTTGTCATATTTTGATTGTGTTATTAAAAAAATGT